CAGCATCTTTGGGAAGCGAAAAAAAAGATAAATCCGGTAGATTTCTTTTCGAATTTAAACACCCGAACGCCGCACAATATTTTTTTCTCTTTATGTCAATACTCAATACTCAATACTTTTATTGCATAACCACATTAGCATTCACATTTATAGGTCCATTTTTAAATAATACTTTGATCACAGAATTAGGTACTACAACGCACGCCAGCGTCCTGACGGGCGCGCGCGTGACACTCGACTGATATAATACCCGCCGGCGGGGCGCTTCGCTGTAGGTAATTATCGGATGTACCGCGCGGAGTGAGCCAGGCCTGGTATGACCACGGTAGCACTACGACGCGCGACGTGACTACGACGCTATCATACAAATGTAGCTTGTAGCATACTACGTCACACATTAGCTCGTAGCATGACTACGGAACTGCTACGGCCTGACTACGACGCTGCCATACATGTAGCTTGTAGCATACTACGTCACGCATTAGCTCGTAGTATGACTGCGGCACTGCTACGGCTTGACTACGACGCTGCCATACACGTAGCTTGTAGCATACTACGTAACACGCTAGCTCGTAGTATGACTACGCACTGCTACGGCCTGACTACGACGCTGCCATACATGTTGCTCGTAGCATACTACGTCACGCATTAGCTCGTAGTATGACTGCGGCACTGCTATGGCCTGACTACGACGACTGTAGCTCGTAGCATACTACGATGTGATTTCATGTTACAGTACAATGTAGCTCATACTACTGGTTAGTTTAGACAAAGTGGACTACGGATACGAGTTTACCGTTACTTAATAGAATCAAATCCTACTAATTCCTACTAATATTATCAATGCGAAAGTTTGGATGTCTTTTTTTTTTTTTTTTTTTTTATGCTAGACAAGGCAGGTATTTGACCGCAATCGCACCTGATGTTAAGTGAGATGCAGTCTAGGATGGTACATATCTGCCCTGTAAGTGCCTATTCACTCTCGCCTTGAAAACGCCCGGATTATAGTGTTCAGGAAATACAGCAGCAGGCAGCGAATTCCAGTCCCTAGCTGTTCGCATTATAAACGAGTCGTCGAAACGCTTAGTGCGAGCTGGTGGAATGTCGACAATGTAGGGATGGTACGCTAGCCTGCGTCTGGTTCCCCGGTGATGGAAAGGGGCTGGTGGAATTAAGTTATATAATTCCTTCGCACATTCTCCGAAGTGTAGCCTGTAGAAAACCGTTAGAGAAGCAACTTTACGGCGGTGGTCAAGTTCCTGGAGCGACGCTTCAACAAGGGTCGGGCTGTCGATTAGTCTCCTGGCACGCCTTTCCACCGAATCCAAAGCAGCCAAATATTTCTTGGCAGAGCCGTCCCAGAGGTGGCAGCAGTATTCCATGCAAGGTCGGATCTGTGCTTTATATAACTGCAGCCTTTGCTTATTGGAGAAGTACTGCCTTGCCCTCGAGAGGATACCAAGTTTTTTGGCAGCAGTTTTCGCTATGGATTCGATGTACTCGCCAAAGTTCAACTTGCTGGACATTTCGATACCCAAAAGTTGGAGTCGCTCGGTGATTTTAACAGGCACACCTCGGAATGTTGGAGCCAGACGAAATGGACTTCGTTTGGCGGAGAACAGACACGCCTGTGTTTTGGACGCGTTAAACTGGACCAGATTGGCATCGCCCCAATCAGAGACATCCTGAAGGGCCAAATTTAAGCGTTCGATAAGGGACTCGCGACAAGACTCGACCTCACGCCTGCTGGCTTTTGCGCTGGAAAGATATTTGGCTGTCACTGTTGTGTCATCTGCATACCCAATGGTACCGGGTTTGAGCAGGTCATTGATGTGCAGTAGAAACAGTGTTGCAGACAGCACCGATCCTTGAGGGACGCCAGCGTCAATAGGTTGCTGACTAGAAGTTTAGCCCTCAAGGACTACTCTTATTGATCGTCCCACAAGGAAATCGGAGATCCATTTGCATAAGCCAGCAGGGATTCCAAAAGATGGAAGCTTGTTTATTAGGCTGCCGTGCCAGACTCTGTCTGGATGTTTGTTACTCTTACACGCAAAAACTACTGAACGGATTTTGATGAAACTTTACAGTATTATTGTTTATGACCCAGAATAACATATAGGCTATAATTTATGACGATCTGTGACAAATTAATTTCACGCGGGTGAAGCCGCGGGCTAAAGCTAGTCTACAGGGTGTTAGGTAAATGGGTATATGAGCCTACACTAGCCCATGTTAACATGGGCATATAAATGGTATTGTGAAGTCAGAAATTTGATATCATCATTTTATTTTTTTTATATTTCATACAAAATAAATTTTATAAAATCCGATTTGTATGAAAAATAAAATAATTAAAATGAAGATATGCATTTTCTGACTTCACTATACCATTTATATGACCATGTTAACATGGGCTAGTGTCGGCTCATATACCCATTTACCTAACACCCTGTATAATATAAAAAAAATAATCGCAAAACAACGCCTAGACTAATTTATACAATTCTTTTTTTTAAATGTTTATTTATTTATTTATTTAAAACTTATATGCACATAGAACGGTGTACATAAGGCGGACTTAATGCCTTTCGGCATTTTCTGCCAGTCAACCTTGAATGTTCCTTGAAGTCCATAGATGGTTTTTACGGCGAGAAAAATTAGAATAATTTTCGGGAAAACTCTAAAAACAGCGGCGAAGCCGCGGTCGTAAAGATAGTATGCAAATAATAATAACAGTATTTTACCTATATCTTCTTCTCATATTCCATCGATCTCTATATCAAAAGTCATCATAATTATTCAGTAGTTTAGGCATGAAAACGTACATACAAAAACAAACTTTCCTTCGTGACAAGTGAGGCCACCACAATGCCTTATCTTTTGTATTTAGGCGCCTCCACGTCTAACATCTTACTCAAGATGTGCCTATTATCGTTATCACTCCAAAACCGACCTTAAACACACGCACTAAGGTTCAGAACGTCCATTTGTTAGTCGCAAATGGCTCGGACATTAAAATAGCTGTTAGTATTTTTTGTTTCTTATTTCTTTTACATCCCCACAATCTATTCTCAACCTTACATCACTAACATTAAGTTCAAACTCGCAATAGCTGGTTTAAAAGATACGTCGTTCTAGAATTTATAAGCCACAAGTTGCCGGCGATTCCTCAAGCAAATAAGACCCTAATTATCATATCGTTAAGACGTAAATTTACATACACGCACAATGGAACGCATTCGAAATTTGGGTATATTCCACTTTGATCACCTGGCTTTGATCACCCAGGTGATCAAAGTGGACTTCAAGCGACCATTTGGTGTCCTTTGATCACCCACGGATACGATACCCTGGGTGATTAAAGTGGACTCCAGTTGAATTAATATTTTAGTTTCCTATGATCACCTATAAATAAATTACACCACTGAATAGTCACACACATGTCCAAATGGTTTGTTGCCGTTTTTAGAAAATGTCAATGTCTACTCACGGACATTGCCCGCGGGCGGCGTGACCGGAGGGAGCGGCGAGCGTTCGGCGAACGAACGAGCAATATTCGGTTCGCGAGCGAACACGATCCTGACGCACTCTCTTCAACGACTTTGCACTAAACGGTCTCAATATATACCGAAATAAATTTATACCGAATAGACAATTAATTTTATACAGTCAACTCTTTCATTTTATTAACTTCCACTACACTCACTATCGAAGTAACAATAAAAAATATTACAAAACAAAAATGTATTATTCAGAGGAGGTGCGATTTGTTTGTAGGTGATCAAAGGACACTAAAATAATAATTAAACTAGAGTCTACTTTGATCATCCAGGGCATCGTATCCGTAAGTGATCAAAGGACACTAAATTGTCGCTGGAAGTCCACTTTGATCATCTGGGTGATCAAAGCCAGGTGATCAAAGTGGAATAGACTGAAATTTGGCGTACGCACGCGCTTTCCCGCGCAAGTTGACGTCTGGCCAGCCAGTGCAACCCCGAGCGTGGAGGCGGTATATCGCCCTTTCGCGCCGAAAACCACCTGTTACCGCGTTTGTATTTCGAACACCATTGTTTTCTTTTAAATTTACGACCAGTTCTTAACAAAAAGGTCTCCTTTCGTTATTTAATACCGTTATTTTAACGATTTCAGTTATTGTTTAAGTTTTTTGAATAAAATTGTTGTGCGATTACGAGTAAAAGTATTGATTTGTCATATTTGTACAGAAGCAATTCGTCTATTCGTGGAGTGTTATTAATACCTAAATCAATAAACCTGTTTAGATTAACATCTGGACGGTTAACGTTACTGGAGTTATTTTGTAGGGGTTTTAGTTTTGGAGCTTTACGTTTTGTTATTATGGGGCGTTGATCCCATTAGAGGGGTTTTCTCACCTGTGAGGAAGAAAAACCCTTGTACAGGTTTTTAGAGCTGTATTCTGCATCTCCATTTGTCTGTAGGTGCTTCTTTTGACTCGACTTACTAAATGTACCTATTATTATAAATGCAAAAATAACTGTCTGTTACCTTTTACACGCATACACCACTAAACCGATTTAGATGAGGTTTAGAGATAAAACGATATTGAAGCAAAAACCAGACCCAGTTTTTGACACACACAAAGTCTTTCTGTGAACGAACTTTCTGTTAAAAAACGAAATTGCGCAAAGCTGCGGGCAAAAACTAGTACAAAGAGTTAAATTGCTTCAATATTTATGAAAGAGTTTGTATGGAAATCTCACAAATCACATTACAATTCTCCTGAAATACGCTTAGCTATTTTAATAAAATTCTATTTATTTGTGTTATTATTTATTTTATTTTATTATTTTATTAATAATTTTATTTATTTGTGTTACATTGTTTGTTTGCTTATAAAATTTTATTTGATATTAAAATAAAAGCCACACGTTTTATTTCCAGCGTTTTATTTTAATCAATCAGTGCGTGAATCGTAAATAAACAAACTAATCCCGAATCGATATCACCCTCTCGAGCAGTCGTCGCGATGTCGCGCTCGGATGAGCAAAACGCCGCGGGTGAGTGCCGAATTTATACTCATACCTCATTAATGTAATACCTCATTAATATAATACCTCGTTAATATAATACCTCGTTAATGTAATACCTCATTATTGTAATACGTCATCATCATAATAGTACTTCGTTATTTTAATGTTAAGTCAAATTTCGACAGATAATGACGTCGAAGGAAGCGTCGAAGTTTTGAGTTTATTGAATCTTTGTCTTAGTTTTATTAAGTTTCAATTAACACGTTGAGTGCGAAACCAGGTCTATAGACCTTGTGTACGTTTCGCTTCCCGTGCGGCTAAGAAAATTATAGTCTTCCTTGTCGTGCGAAAGGCATAACTTCAATTGGGTCCGGTGTAGGAAAGTGATGAATATATATCTATGATGTATTCTTAAAATATAATCCAATGATGTACCTACCTTAATACCAGGTTTTTAGACCTGGTACCGCACGGAAGTAATAAAATGTCTTCACAATGCGAAACCAGGTCGAAGCACCTTGTACCCTGCGCACCTGGTACCGCACCCCACGCTTGCTTCGTGCAGCCAGTGTTGCCTCGCATTCGTAAGAAACGCACATGTCGACATGGCGTCAAGAGAAACAAACAAAATCAAAACTGCAAATTGATTATAATTTAATTTGCTACACGATTTATTGCTCATTTTAATAATTGTTTTTCGTGACAAACAAATTGTAACTAAATGTTATTAAATAATATGTTTTCTTTAAATATAGCTTATTTAAGTATTTATACACGTATGTCTTATTTGTAAAATATTTAGACTAAATTATTAAAACATCTTTGTTTGTTACTTTTTTAAATTTTTATTAAAACCTAATTTAAACTATCGATATTTGTATTTCACATCCCTAGAATACCCACCAGACTTCCCTACTTCAGTGCGGCACAAGGTGCATAAGCCTTGTATTTTGAATATAGCTATAATTTTTATACTAAACAAGTTATTCACGAACGCCTTCAGGTGTATGTCAATAAATGTATTATTATTAATATTCAAAGAAAAAAAACACAATATCTATTAACATGAAGCCAAAAATAATATTAATATATCTTAAATATTACAAGGTCTTTAAGCCTTGTGCCGCCACAATGTAAGTTTTAATACCAGGTTTACTGACCTTGTACCGAAGGAATGGAAAGTATTAGAAAGTTACTGCCGCAGCAAAGGTGTTAATCTAAGAATTAAGCAGTCAGACGTGAGACAATTTAATTCCTAATATTATGTGTATAAGGATATTAAATATTTTTATTTCATTTGCTTATAATTGTTGCTCTGTAATATGTTTTCATAGATGAATATCTTTATCTTTAAAGAAACGCTAGATCTGTTTTGACCTTATATATATAGATAGGACTTAACTTAGCTTGTCATCGTTTTTCATCAGAATAACAAGAAAATTGTATAAAAATTTCTTTCCTGACGGAGATTAATTAATAAAAACGACAGGCGGCGAAAGAATAATGAAAATCATCCGATTTAGGTCAAAACGAAAGTGCTTTCAATTGAAAAAGTTTGAACTCAATATTAATGCGAGATTTTTTTATGGATTGATAGGTAGGTGTGCTCAATAGATCGAGACGGTATTTCACTCCAACCCATCGTCTGCAACTTTACAAGGCGCAGGTTCGGCCTCATAATTATGGAATACTGTTCTCATCTTTGGGCAGGTGCGTGCGCCCCAATACCAGCTTCTCTCTTCATTGAACGGAGAGCAGCTCGAATCGTTGACTGCCAGGACATTTCGGATCGGCTTGACCCCTTGGCGCTGCGTAGAGATGTATCCTCACTGTGTATCTTCTATCGCATGTATCACGGGGAGTGCTCCGAAGAATTATCCGGACTTATTCCTGCCGCCACTTTTCGCCACCGATCTACCCGACAGCACTTCCACCCCCATCACTTAGATGGTTGGCAGTCCACAACAGTACGTTTCTCTAGAAACTTCCTGCCCCGTACAACCAAACTGTGGAATGGACTGTCGTCTGCGGTGTTTCCGGACGGATACGACCTGCAAGCTTTCAAGAGGAGAGCGTATCTTCACCTTAAAGGCCGGCAACGCACCTGTAACGCCCCTGGGTCTGCGGGTGTCTATGGGCGACGGTAATCACTTACCATCAGGTGATCCGTCTGCTCGTTTGCCTCCTGTCACATAAAAAAAAAATTAAACATCAACATGGGTGGATATCCAATATTAAGTCGAAGCAAAAATAATATATTCTACAAAATAGAACCATGTTTATTATATTCGTTTTTGAATTTGAATTGATATTTTGCTTAGGGACTACACATCAAACAGAGAAAGTGCAGCAGCGCTCTGTGAAAAACATCAATCTTTTAAACTGCGATCTCCAACCCGCCTGCCAAGCGTGGGGATTATGGCAAAACCCTCCGCTATAGTGGAGGAGGCTCATAGTCCAGCAGTGGACTGTAAAGGGCTGTTGATGATGATGCTTTTCTTTTGAATAGGATGTGCAGAAGACGAAAATGATATAATAATATCTAACCATATAGGACTATTCCCACCTCTCGTTCCCACCGCTGCAACTCCTGTGTAGCCAGGATCTACAGCTTGACCGCCAATAACCCAACCAATGAAGGTCAAGTTTGTCCCGGGGGAAAGTTAAACTGTCATTGGACCCGCAATGAAATCAATCAGAAGAACATAGGAGGAGTTCCAAGTTAAGTTTCGACTTCCCTTAAGTGTGCTTACCATGAGTTTACGTTAGGTGTGCTCGCTAGCGACTGCGTAAAAAAATGACGTTAAAAGTATGACATATTGTGCAGCGCCCCTAGCGGCTACTTTCAAGAAATAAAATCTTCATAGATTTTTTTGACGTACTGGCTAGCGAGCACACCTAACGTAAACTCATGGTAAGCACACAGTGCAAAGCGGATGACAGGTGACAAAACGGATAAGTAAATCTTCAAGAAAAAGCATCACCGCGCACAGTAATCTATATTTATAAAAGCGAAAGGTCACTGATTGATTGACTGACTCACTTATCACGAAATCTCAGAAACTACAAGTGCTTGGAGTCTCAAATTTTGCATGGGAGTTCCTTTTAGAACGTAGACGTGCTCACTAAGACGGGATTTGCAAAATTTAACTCCTAAGGGGGTAAAACGGAATCCATGCGTACGAAGTGGCGGGCGGCCGCTAGTCATCAATAAAATAATGGGGACCTTCTTGCCAATAGCATGCAAATATACCTACAGCGATAATTGTACTAAGTAAACAGTCTAAGGCTGTTGCACCATCTAACCATAACCATGATTTTTGTGTGGAGTTTGACAGATTTTTGACGTTTGTTAAAGTTAAAGTAAGATGGTGCAACCCAGCCTTACCCCCTTACTAATTTAATAAAACTTACACGCTCGTTGAACAGTGTTTTAAAGTGACGTTTAGTATGGAAAAGTCATTTTAAAACAGTGTTCAACAACTGTGTAACTTTTTATTAGTAAGGAGGTTAGTATATCCATCAGAAGGTTAAACTAGCGAAGTGCCAATGTGGCATTAACACATTAACGGCCATTTCCATAGGCAGCATTGGCAAGCGCCCGCAGTGAGCGGGCTAATCGACGCATTAGCTGACATAATGTCGCACACGCATCCGGGGAACGACTGCAGAATCACACACTTTGGGCTATTTTGGATGCCTTTCAAATGTGAAGTCAACAATTTTTAGAACAGCTATCCTAGACAAAGCAAGGACTGCTTTTGCACACTAGTGCATTTACGAGTAGGACATGTACATACATTTAACCGCCTCTGTTGTCTAGTGATAAGACCACCTGCTTCAGACCCAGAGGTCCCGGGTTCGATTTCCAGTGGGGGCAGATTTTTCTGTTCGGTTTGGTTGGTGGTAGGGCTTGTTCTAAGTCCGCCTGGCTAGCTACCACCATCTTACCTAAGTCTGTCGCCATAACAACAATGTTAACAGCATTGTTCCGGTAATAATAGCCAGTTTCTCCGTGGTTGAGGATTCCGGGTGAAGCTCGCTTCCACCTTCGGCCTGATCATCACTTACCATCAGGTGAGATACAGGCCAAGAGCTTCCTCGTTATGGATAACAAAAAACTTTGAGTTGTTTTTTGGATGCTTTCAAATGGAAAGTCATGTATTTTTAGAATACCCTGCTCTATACAAATCCTCCATTAGAGGTACATTAGAGAGGGTCGTCCTCCTACAATGGAGATTTAATGACCTGGTGATGATGAGACAAAGTATACTCATCATCATCATCATCATCATCATCATTTCAGCCATTTAAATGTGTTAAAAATATTGGTTTGCGTGCGAAGAAGTTTGGATACCTGTCTAAGATGATATCACTTTTTGCTGATTTTCAAAGGTGACTAAAATGTAATACGTAATTTGGCATTCAATGTGTAAATTACTCATTGTAAACCTAAAAAATTGCATTCTAAGCTGAAATTAGTTCAGTTCGTTCATTCATGACCTTTTCTACGGGGGCCAATCTTCAAATGTTTGCACTTAGTTTTATTTTCCATACGTTACAATACGTCCGTTGTATGAAGTCAAGACGCAGCAAGGTTTCAACGCATTGCTTAGTACTCCACACATACTCAGAACTAGAAACTATAAAACTGCGCTAAAATTCTAGTTCTTTCAACTTTCTTACAACAAAAACTGAAAAAACTGGTTCATTTGGCATTGAAAACACGTGGAAAAGGTATAAGAGCAATACGCGCGGTAAGAAGCGAACCCCTTTTAGATTCCCCTTTCGAGAAGGGCTGTCTCTCATTTGTCGATAACTACAAAATTTGATTAAAAAATGCTTACCTACTAACTTTTGAAATTGAATTTACTGTCAACCGAATTGGCTATGAATCAATGCCTGATACCTGCAAACCTAATAGAATGACATGATCGAAGTGAGTACGCGGTGGTATTTTTATATATCACTTGAATCAAAATCAAACGCCTACTGCCTTTCTCAGAATGAAACCAATTCATGCCACT